TATATATATATATATACTGATAATTTAAAAGAAAACACGAAAAACCTTAATTTATCCAATAAAAGGTATTTTATTGAATAGTTTCCTATTGACGGGGAATTAAAATGAAATCATTTACCTTTCATTTTTCCCATAAATGAGTTCGGTAGGATTACCATACTTAATTGGAAGTCTTTTAATATCAAATGGTAGGCTCTATGATAGCTATCATTAGCCCTTAAGTTAACTTCGGGCTTCACAGAGGAGAGGAGGAACAAGGAAATGATTCACAGATGTAAAAGAGACAGAAATGCAGACCTAAAGGTAGAAAAAGAAGGTAAAGTACCTGTTGTGAAAGTAGTCGAATGCGACATACAGTTGGGTCATGGTAGTTTGAAGTCAAAAGTCAAATGCCTGTATGATTAGACGTTGCCCAGGGTGCACCTAGAGGTGGAAGTCTTTCGCGCACCCACGCCTAGTTGGAAGTAACTGACCCTGCATCAACTTTTAGGTTTATTTGCATTAACAACTTTTTTCAATAATATTTTTATATGAATCTATAAATTAGCTTAAATGGTCAGTTTGTTAGTGGGGGAGTTAAGAGTTTAGGAATTTCCACATCAGCGAAGATTCAAGGTTTTGGTGGATGGGGCCATTAGTAAAGCCTTGACTGACACAGAAATCGCTGTTGCAGATTCTCCTTCATCTAGCTAGACTCCCAGAATTAGCTAAGCTACAGCGCAGCTATGAAGGAAAGGGATGTATTACATAGAACACATTTATTCAGGACGTGTGTCGTGGAAATTATGAACGGACCTGAATGTTAGTCATAATCAATATGGCGGATTCGCTTAAACAAATGCAAGCTTCTGATTGGCCATTTTTTGTGAACATGCGATGACGTGTAGACGATGCCGCGTCCTACAAAGCGCCTTTCTCAATCTTTGACAGCGGCCATTACACAAACCCCCAGGCAAAGATCGCAATAACTAAACTCATATAGTGGTCTAAATTGTCTTCTGGGGGGGGGGGGGGGGTTAGTGACAGCATTCGTGTTATTTTTTAAGGAAAAATTAAGCTACCTTCTTTTCTAACCTGAACTTGTCTTGAGTGAATTGAAAGCATTTATTTATTTATTTACTTATTTCAAATGGCAGGTGTTTTGGTAGTTATCATTAGTCCTTTGGTTGACTTCGGGCTTCACAGAGATGAGGAGTAACATCAAAGTGACAAAAATGTGGAGAGAAGGGAACAGAAGAGTGATTCACAGATGAAAAAAGAGAATGGCAGACACAAATGTAGGGTGAAAGGTGAGATGAGTATTGTGAATTGATCGAATATGACATACAGTAGGGTCATGGTAGCTTGAATTTAGAAATCAACTGTCGGTTTATAGACTTTTTGCCGTATGAGTATACCGTTTCCAAGCCATTTAATAGACTTTTTTGCCGTATGAGTATACATTGCCCAGGGTGCACCACGGACTCTTTTGCCGTGTATACGTTGCCCAGGGTGCACCAGTTTGTTTGCCGTATGAGTATACGTTGTCCAGGGTGCACCACGTGTAGATAAGTCTATCACACACCCCGGTTTGAAAGCACAATATTTGAAGTCTTACAGAATGTGGCCAGGCACATTGATTGGTCTTAAAAATAATTGCATACTCCTTGTTTTATCTACAACTCGATCTTTGGACAGCGGACATAGATTCACCAAGGATTTCCAGTTTCTTTCAAAATGATACTTTCGTGGTAAAACACTGCAAGTACAGCATTAGATCAATGCATCGCGAGGTTAATATTTGATCGGTCATTAGAACTCACAACTATTTCAACCAATTGAATAAGGTGAACTGTAGTTAACTATGAATGGTCTTCAACGTATAAATTTATGTTATTAAAACGACTGAATTCAAAAAGAACACAAAGCCGTCCATGGCGAATTTACATCGCTCTAGAGTCTACGCAGATATCAATTCCAACCGTCCAGTGGATAATTCTGATATTCTCCATTTTGAAGTCAAATGGTCTGAGGCAAACTTTGAAATTTTTGAGCAGCTTGGAAAAGGTACTTTTGGAGAAGTGTATAAGGCCAGAAATCTCCACAATGATCGAATCTACGCCCTGAAGGTTATGCTTAAGAAGCACAGGATACTTAGTTTTAATCGCGAGACCATGATACTAGAGGAATTACAAGGATGCCCAAATATCATTAAATATATTGGAGCAATCAAAGAGCTACCGGTGAGTTGGTTCTCCAACCTCTAAATATACTTTGTCGCTTCATGCGATGCTATCGATAAATTCGGTTATAAATAAGCATCTCTGGCAAATCGATGTTAAACTGTTTTTTATGGGTGCTGTAAGCAAGCTAACAGTTGGCCCTTCTGTTATCACTTATCAAAATTCGGATGGAAACGAAGGTGGTGACAAATCTGCTGGTTGAAGGAGAACACTGATATCTCCCTTTGCCCAATAATGAATGCTCATTCTTTATTACGTTAATGTGTTTCCATTTAGGATCTTGGTGGTCCGGTCCTCGTCTTTCAATACGTTGATCCAAGGGGTTACGATGACTTTGCTTCCCACGCATCTCCAGATGAGATTCGCTTCTATATGTTCCAGCTACTGAAAGCTATTGAAGCGTGCCACAGCAAGGGAATCATGCATCGCGATGTCAAACCCGAGAATATCTTGATTGAACCACGGCGTCGCCGTCTCTATCTCATTGATTTCGGTCATGCTGATTACTACTTCCCCGGAAAGGAATATTCTATTCGCGTCTGTACTCGCTACTACAAAGGCCCTGAACTCCTAATTGACTTCAAAGTCTGTCCACCTATGTCAATATGCTCCACGCCACTCGGCAGATTTGAGATTCACTGTTTTTTCTTACTTTTAGCAATATGACTACTCTTTAGATTTGTGGTCATTTGGTTGCGTGTTTGCGGAACTGATTTTCAAGTGCCAAGTATTCTTTTGGGGTCGCACTAACGAAGACCAGTTGAGTAAAATAGCGCAAGTTATGGGAACCAAAGCCATTGTAAAGTATGTGGAGAAGACTGGCGTTCAGATGACTCAAATCATTAAAGATCACATTGGAAATTTTGCGCGTGTATCCCTGAAGCGCTTCGTGAGTGCAAAGAACCGCAGAACCGCAACATCACTGGCTGTGGATCTTCTTAAGAAACTCCTTGTAGTGGAACATTGGCATCGGCTAAGCGCGGAGGAAGCAATGAGTCATTCCTATTTCGGCGATATGTATTCGGACTCAAGCATGTGATGATGATGAGTTTAGTGTTTAATTTGAAATCCATTGTTTTTACTCCTATTTTCTTATCACCTCCTTTTGATTGACCACAGACAACTACTTTATCTTACCTCTGTACTTGTTTTTCCATGACTGAAAGTTAATTACAGTCCATTGGTCGTATTATTGGCTTGCATTTTTATTGAAATACCCTGAATTCATGCCCAATTGCAACATTTTATTAACCTTCTCCAATTTTTCAACCTACTTTTATGTTACCGGCTAATTTTCGATCGCAATTTGTTACTTGAGGCCTTTTGCAGCTGTGATCTATTCAAGTTCAGAATTTAAATGACACCAAATCAAATATTGTTAACTTAATTATGGGATAATTAAGAGATACGGAGAAATAAAGCTTTACCGAGCATTATTTGATTTTTCCACACGTTGAAATACCTTCAGTTAGTAAGTTGAGAGTAGTCTAGAAGCAGATATTGCTTTCTAATTCTCGTAATTATTTTTTTCTGGAATAAGCTTACGATGATTGGTTAATTAAAGCTCTAAGATATTTCACCTTGTTGGTCTGCCAATGAAAAGAGGACACAGATATTTGTTCAAGCGACGGCATAGCTCCACTTATTTTTGAAGTAATTTGGGGAAAGAGCAGTGAGATATGATTCAATGGATTCGGGATGGAGGATATCCTTTTTCTTATCTGTTGCTTTTTCAAAGTTTTTTTTGAAGAGGCTCACATTGTATTTTCCGCCAGAATTGTTTTGACGTCCTGGTACATGGCGGCATCGAACTCCACCGTCTACGCTCGATATTCTGGAAGGTGAGGAAGTTCTATTTTAAAGGAGGTAATTAGCAGTAGCTGATGTTCTAATGAGGATGTTCCTCACACACCCCAGACCTTCATTGTGTCCAAGACCACAGGCATGACTTGGAGTAAGCTTTACGTTGAGTTCCCCTTGGAATTTTGTGACTCTAAAGAAAATTCCAACCGGGAGAACTGAGAATTTCTTCCATAACAACTCATTGATAAGGTCTTTCATTTTAAGTTTTTGAGGAAAGAATTCCCAGAAGACTATGGTGAGTTGCATTTCCACATGTCACTGCTCGAAGTGCTAAAATGACCTTCAATTTTGCAGCCTTGAGGTTAACTTAGAGTTGCTGTAGAAACACCTTCATGCAGAAATTACGTTGAACTTGCAGTGGCATGTCGTTCTCGATTCCAAGCACTTTAGACTACATTACTAGGCGACTTTGCAAGCGGCTTTTCTTGACCACACTTTGTTTCTTTTGCCTATCAGTTCTGAATAGTACAACGGAAGTAGTACAATGAGAATATATCGTCCTTGGGATGTTGTTTAAAAGGAGGAATTTCCGAGTTAGTTCCAAAGACAAACCAAAGTGTCTGAGTGCTCATACAATGGACGTACTCAAATCCGTTTCCTCTCCGTTATGCGCACTGCCTGACGTTGAAATAACGAGTGTTAATTGGAAACATGGATACGGGGGCACTTCCCCGGTAATTTCGGATGATTAAAAATCCGTCTTTATCATTTGAACTAGTTACTGTCCGTATTTTTTCGCCTGAAATTGAAATTTTAAGTCCCACAAAATTTACTCTTATTATATGCACTTCCAAACTCTTTCTTGTTTAATTCTCGATTTCAGATGACAATATAAATTAAATCATAATTAGTCTTCCCTTTCTTGGCATAATTGAATGAAATGCTTGTGCCAAATTAAGCGATTTCTAAGGGTAATAAGATTAGCCCATTTCTGTGAAATATTGTAAATAATACATTTTTTTAATCGATTCAGACCGTTAAATGGCGTAATATATTCCAGTATGTAACAGCAACTTTATCTAAGGCAGTCTCGTTTCTTCAAAATATCACCAATTTACCTGTTACAAATGGTGGTCATTTGGAACATCAAATTATATATATATATATTTATTTCAAATGGCAGGCTTTATGATATTTATCATTAGCCCTTAATCTTTGACTTCAGCTTCCCCCAAGAGGGGGGGGGGGTACATTTATAGCAGTTAATTAATAGCAGTTCATTAGCCGTCTTCTTGCTTCTCAGTATTTTTGGCTTTCTGTCCTTGTCTTTAGGGCTGGACACCGAATCAGGTGGGTCTTCTCCATTTCCTCCTGTAGATTACATAGGGGGCATGTGGGTTGAGTGTATACTCCCAATCTAACATTGATTGTCTCAAGAGCCAGTGAGCACATTTGCTCTGGAGGGGTGTTTACATATCTGTTTTGCGTAGAGTGCTGATCAAGCCGGGCAGGTGACAAAAGATTGAGAAAAAGGATTAAAGTATTTGATCTTTGAAATGTTGACTTTAATCTTCAAGTACTCGAAGTGGAATGATGTCTCACTGTTTTATTTTATGTAGCAAAATTGATACTCCAGTTGAACTCGAACCAAGTACAGTATAGTGCAATTCATATTAATCCGCTTAAACAAATGGTGGGCTAATAGTTATTTCAAATGATAAAAAATGAATTTCGCCAAGAAAAAAATGTTAAATTATTTATTGATTAATTTAGTTTTCAGCTATTCATCAAGTAATATCAGTCAGCTTCTTCCTTGTAGAACTCTTTCTTCGAGTTCAACTTTGAGTCCTCCTACCGTTGCAGCTTCAGTCTGCCTCCTTCCATTAGTTTCAACTTTAGAGATTTCCCATTTTGCAGAACCCTGTTCATCAGGATGTAGCCCAATTACTTCCTCTTTCCCCCGTGTTTCATATTTTTCTTTGAGTTAGCTAATTTTCATGCTACCTTAGTGACTATTGGTTCAAATTTTTTATTGATGAATTCATTCCAATAATTTTTTGTTCTCCTCATTGGTGCTTTATACCCTTGTTTTTGCCGCACAAGAGTTAAATGCGCATTTGTAGGGGAGAAATCAGACAGAGTCCTAATCACTGCAAAGCCAGCATCCATTCGTCCAAAGTGGTGAAAACGAGCAGAAACAATCAGAATCACGAGGTGCCTGCCAAATCCTTCGACAGATTTCTTCCGATTCAAGTTGCAGTCATTGGATGTGAAATTCTTCTTCTTTTTTTTGCAAAACGTGACATCTGTCTCCTTGATTGCAAACACCAGTACTCACAAAAATAAACCCACAATTAATGTGATTAGGAACTGTAGTCTAGTGATCAGCATGTTCTTTGCCTAATGAATCACAAGTAAAGCACTTTTAAAGTACAGAAGGTTTTTTTTGTTAACATAGTAGTTCAGAGCGAAGCAAGACAATTTCTCTCCCCGGGAAAGAAGAAGAAGAAGATTCAAAATAGTCCTGTGATGGATGAATTCTTTGAGCCGTTGTTTTGTTTTTCTTTTTACAGCAAGATCGTTTCGAAATAACGTTCTCAAGCTCGGCAAGCCAGTTTGAAATTGAAATTCTTATTGAAATTTATTAGCTTACAGACATGGCCGCAATCTGGAACGATGCATGTAACGATGTAGTTTTCATTTTCAAACATTTTAAAAAGCTGTTTTTTGCTGCAGCTGAGGAATTTTTCGCTGTGTCTTGAGGGAGAATTCGATTTTCTACAGAATAATTGTGCGTTCTTCAACATTCAATGATACTTTGATACATATTTGCATAATATGCTTTTTTTCGATATTCCGTTCGTGCAATTTATGGCGAATGCCCCAAACTCTAAGAGCAGATAAGTGTTTAATGAATATTCGTAATTATGTATTCACCTTGACAGTGGGTTATCAATCACTCTAATCAAACAACCTGGAAAGAGGAAGCCGTTAAGCTATAACTGCCTGTCCAGGAGCGCTCGATAGACTTACCTCCACTTGGCGCAACCTGGACAACCTATACTCACACGGCGAAAGGGTCTATAACACGGTAGTTGACTTCTCACTTCAAACTAATATGTCCTATTCGACTACTTCCACAGTACGCACCTCACATTTTTCTCTGCCCTTGTGTCCGTCGGCTCTTTTTTACATCTGCGGATCATTCTTCTGTTCCCCTGTTCCACCTTTTATGACATTGGGGCTCCTCCTCTCTGTGTAGCCCCTTCTCGACTTTTGCGACATTGATGTCTCCACATCACGCCCCACGCCTTCCTCTGTGAAACCCAAAGTCAACTAAGGGGATGATGATAACTATCATAAAGCCAGCCAATTGATTTAATCAAATAAATAACTGCCTGGCCACAAGTGGGCATTTAAAACAGTTCAAGCATTTCATCTCAACTTGCTGCCAACTTTCGAAAGTCGCGGTCAAACAAACATCTATTTTGGAGACCAGAAAATGGAATATATTCCCGCGAGTGATTTGAGCAGGTTTTGAGTCATTCTAAAAAGTTTACGCAATTCATATATTTCATTATCTATTATAATAGATTAGAGAGACCAATTAAAATGTCTCTGTGTATGTATAGAATTGATCAATGCATAGTTAGAAAGCATTTCAAAGAGTTTTGGAGTCAGGGTGACATGCATTCGATCTTGTCAATACGAAAATCGAAGAGTTCGATTCATTTCCTTTTCATTTTGCTTCATAATTCTTTGATTATCAACATGTAGTAGTTTCTTTGAGACACACGATCATGATAATGCATGTTTATTAATCTCAGCTACCATTAAAAATGGCCATATATGTTTGTTGCTGATGTTATTTCTAATCGGAAAATTGGCTTTTTAAAATATCTTTTCATTTCTCAATATGCAAGAAATTTTAGAGACACTGGGAAATAGCTTCTACTGTCACAACTTTTCATAGAATCTATGATGCACTGTTGGTCATGTCAATTGAGCTCACTATCAGTAACCAGCCAAACTCAACTTGGATCCACTGGCTCATCGAATTAGTGATTGATAAGCAACTCTCCCTGTCTATAAATTTCGCATTTTCCACCTCCTGATTACCATCTATGACGGGTGTCTATCACTATTTTGCTTTGCATAGAACTCACGCAATATTTGCCAAAAATCAATGGATTCTTGGACACTATGGCATTATATGCAATGAGCTTGCTGACACACTTGCTAAGAAGGGGACAACGATTTTGCAACGCATGGACCGGCCGATGTCTTTCCAAACAATGGAGACCATAATCAGGAGAGAATTTAAAGACCCCAAAGTGCAACGAACTTAAAGCTCGAACGAAGGAGAAACGGTGGACAGTGGCACTCTCCTGCATAGCCGACTGGCAAAGAATCAAAGCCGTTGCTGAGTTTAGACTACGTACCGGACACGATCGCCTGGCAAAACACCTTCACAGATTGGGAGTATACACTCAGCCATCAAAACACCTTCACAGATTGAGAGTATACACTCAACCCACATACTCTATGTAACCTACAGGAGGAAATGGAGAAGTCCCACCTGTCTATGTGACCTACAGGAGGAAACGGAGAAGACCCACCATATGTAACCTACATGAGGAAATGGAGAAGACCCATCTGATCTGTAACCTACAGGAGGAAATGGAGAAGACCCACCTGATGTGAAACCTACAGGAGGAAATGGAGAAGACCCATCTGATTCTCTACAGGAGAAAATGGAGAAGACCCACCTGATTCGGTGTTCAAAGGAGGAAATGGAGAAGACCCACCTGATTCGGTGTCTAGCGATCAACCCACATGCCCTCTATGTAACCTACAGGAGGAAATGCCAGCATGCCTCCTATGTGACCTACAGGAGGAAAGGGAGAAGACCCACCTGATTCGGTGTCCAGCCCTAAAGGCAACGACGGAAACCCTGAGATACTGGGAAGCCAGAAGACAACTAATGAACTCCTGTTAACTATCCTAAAGCTTAAATATATGTTCCTCCCCCCCCCCTGTTATGATAAATATCATAAAGCCTGTCATTTGAAATAATAATAATAATAATGATACTTATAATATTTGCCCAAAACACGCTCATTATCTCTCCCTGTCGGCAAATTCAACCGCTTAACTGGAACTGGCATGAGGGAACAAAAAGTAAGTAATTGGCGTGTGACAGCAAAACTGCAAGAAGAGAGAGAGAGAGAGAGAGAGAGAGGAGCAACAAGCGCATCTACCTCGCGTCTGTCTACCTGCCTCTGCGCCATGGCAACATGCCAAAA